AATTTTTATTAAATAAATAAAAAATAAATACTATCAATAAATAATATATAATTAAAACCAATATTATATAAATTTTTTAAAAAATATTTTAATTATTTAAAATAATAAATGAAAAGTAACTTTTTAGTTAAAAAATTTAAACATTATAAAAAAAATACTTTACAATTTAAAGGATAAGTTTTAATTATATTTTGTTATTTAGTTTATATTATATTTGTATTTATATTACTATAAATCTTATTTAGAAAATAAAATAGTTTTAATAAGATCTGATATTACTTTTTAACATATGTTTATATTTTAAATTATATTTATTTGTTTGTTTATAATTAATTATTATTGTTTAATTTATATTTATAATATCAATAATCTTTTAAAAAAGATAAATTATTTTTGGTTTTTTTGATTTTAAAAAAGTTTTAATTATATAATAATTATTGTTTATTTTTAAGAAATATTGAGATTTATATTTTTCTTTTCAATTATAACAGTAAAAAAATTTTGATATTTTTTTGATTTTGTATTAATATATAAGATTATTTAATTTATTAGATATAATTTAATTAATATAAAATCTTGTTAATATCTAAAAAAATATCTAATCTAATATTTAATTGACTAATAACTTATGAAATATAATTTTATTTATTTTTTTTAATTTTATTATAAATTGTATTTTTTGTTTTTTGTTCTTTTTTTAATAAGAAATTACAAATATTTATTTGTATATTTAAAAATAAAAAAAAATTAATATACTTTTTGAATCTATAGTATATTTGTTATATATATTTTTTTTTATTTTTAAAAAGATATTATAAAGTTTTTTTTTAAATATTTTCTTTGAATATTTCTTTAAAATGTTTTGAAAGTTATCAAAAAAAAATTTTTTAGAAATTTTGAGAGTTTTTTTTTTTTATAAAAAGAATATATAATATAATATTAAAAAAAATAATTATTATATTTTTATTTATAACTTAATAAATAATTAATGAAGATTTATAAAATCTATAAACATATAATTAAATATTTTATAATAAAAAATTTATAATAAAAAATTATTATTTTATATATATATATAAATAATTAAAATAGTTAAAAAAATTTTTAATATATATATATATATATAACTTTTTAATAAATAAATTAATTAAAATTTAAAATAATAGTTTTTTAAAATAATTTTTATTAATTTTATTTTTAAATCTAATTTTTTAATGATATTTTTAACTTTAAATCAAAATATATTAAAAAAATATTAAATTATAAAAACAACCATTTATTGAATTATTAATTAAAATATAATTATAAAAATAATAATATTATTATTATTGTATCATACTATATATTTTACAATATATATATAAATAAATTGTTATTTTTAAATAAAAATTTCAAATAACTTTAAAAAAATAGCAATAATTATATATGAAATAATTAATATTTAATAATTGATCAAAATAAATAAAATTTTATAATTATATCTTATATAAAACCAATAAACAAATATTTGTAATCGATTGTTATGATTTTTTTTTTAAAAAAAACATTAAAAAAATCCATATACTGTATTATTTATTTATATTGATTTAATTGATTAACACAAAAGATATGATATAAATAAAGACCTTAGTTGTTTTAACGTTATTAATTTATCTTTATGAAGATAATATAAAGTTGTGGCACAATTTTTTGAACGAGTTACTGCTTAAAATAAGTTAAAATACATGTACAAAATGAAATAAATTCTTGGCATTTGACAAACGATTAATGTTATCGACTACTGATATGAATACCTTCACTCAGGAGAGCGCCTAAAATACGACAAATGATGAATGCACAAGTTGATAAATTGATACGTTTTTCATTTTAGGTGTCTGATTTATTATATGAATAATGAAATGAGCGACAGAAGGAAATTGTGGTATTTTCTTGGTACATACTAAATTAGAAAATCAAAGAAAATTCATGTACTCTTCGGGTATTTATTTATATATAAATGCAGACACGGAAGGGTATTTTTAGGCGCTTCTGGCTTGTTTAGAAAAAAATTTTTTTTTACTTATGTAAAAAAAATTTGATACAAATATAAAAATAGGAAAGATCATAGACCATAAGGGAAATTTCGACTTATTTCATGTAAGTACAATGCGAACAACATATATTAACGCTTTTTTAGTAACAGACGTGAATATAAGACGGAGAAAATGCATCGCAGTTGGTTTTACACTACATATATAATGACCTCTAAAAAAAAAGCGCCAACAATAAGAGGATTTTCGTCTCACCAACTATAAAATTACTTGTTCTGCATACATAAATTCTCTTTTTTCTTTCAGTCAATTCCATTGCGACATCTTTTACAATCACAATGTCCAAGTTGTCTACATTGATTTTCGCTTTAGTTTTTTCTCTTTACTTTACGCACGGCGTTACTGCCTTTGATCGTAAGACACATTTTATCTTTTCATGGTTTTTCTTTTGTAACTCAGTTTTACGCTCTAGAATATATATTCAAGAAAACTAAAGTTAAAATATTTTAAAAAAAAATCTTTGATCCCAACAGCTTATTCTGTTGATAATTCGACCAAGATGAATTGGTGTTCATCGCAAAAGGCAGTTTGCACAAGCGCCTGCCAAGATAGTGGTAGTAAGAATGCAACGACCAATACATGTAATTATATAACTCTCGATAATACTTGCATCTGCAGCGATGGAAAATCTCCAAGTATTGCGAGTAAGTATCGTTCATGGTTAAACTCTTTGATATCATATGTGTTATATTAACTTCATAATTTAATGATTTCAGATTACACCCTGACGATACCATACCTAGAGTGTCAATATGATATGGAAAATTGTACGAGACATTGTAACGGTGACTCAAATTGTGCAAATGGCTGCCAAAGACAATGTGCTGCAAATGTCACCCACACAGGCACTATACCTACGGTCACCGCTACAGGCCCAACTAGTCCCGCCGCCGCAACCACAACCAATTTTGATGTATATGGTGCAGCCCCTTTCCTTGCCCCAACGATAAATGCCTGTTTTTATGCCCTATTGACTACACTTTTCGTTTTCTTTGCCCGTTTATAATATCATTGTCCGAGTTAAAAAGGAAAAGAACAATCAAACGATTGACATCATAATTGGAATTTCTGCATAAGTAGTACTAGAAATAACATCACTAGTTTTAGATGTTTAATTATACTAATTTCCCATGTTTCTTATATGTACCTCATGCGAAAAAGATTTACAATAGTAAAACTCAACTAATTATAATAAACCACGGATTTTATAGCAAAATTGGTTTACTATTTTAAATAATAATAATATTATTATTATTTAAAATTCATTGTATTTAATAATCAATTTTTCAATTTTTTTTTAAAAAAATTAAACAACAATAATAAAATCAATTAAAAAAAAATTTTTTTTAAATGTTAAGTGAGGTCTTTCTCAAGGCTTTATTAATTATACGTAGTAAATGTAATACATTATATACAAAATCAATAAAGTAT